TCACCGTGTTTGTCTAACGCGGTGAATACCCCGCGTTTGTCCACGTCAGCGATCCGCTTCGCTTCATCGTGGCCAATCAAAGCGGTTTAAATGTCACCGCTTTTCATTAAAACGGTGACTTACTCCCCGTGTCGGTCTAAAACGGTGATTGCCTCGTTGGTTGTTCACCGTTTTAGATGAAGACGGTGAATACGTCACCGTTTTTATTTTAAACGGTGAAATATTCACCGTCTTTGTCAAACGCGGTGATATTCTTCACTGCGTTTGTCAAAAACGGTGATGCTCAAACATGTGTATTTTGGGAAAAATTTTTATAACTTATGTATTTTGGGAATTTTTTTAATAACTAGGGGTTAATTGCAAGGATGGTCACTGGGTTTACTAAAACCGTTCATGTTTGGTCACTGCAAATATTTAATTCCATTAATAGTCACTAAGATTAGTTCAATAGTTCAAGTTTGCTCACTCTCCGTTAGTCTCCGTTAGTTTTTGCTGATGTGGCAGTCAACTATTATAGTTGACCGTTAAATGAGTGACGTGGCCAATAATAAAATAATAAAATTTAAATATTTACAATTTCCACCTCATTTTACAACTATTAAAAAATAAAAATAAAAATAAAACTTAGACTCCTATTCCATCAGCCGCAGCAGCAAGACGCGAATCGTGGCGCTGAAGAAGAGGTTCACCTACCTGAACCCTAAGAACCCGGAGGAGCACAAGTAGGGGTGGCAGTCGGTCGGTTTCGGTTTAACCGAAAACCGAAAACCCGGTTATCGGTTAAACCGAAACACCTCCTAGAGCTGCCGACCACCGACCGAAGAGGAGGGCACGGTTAGCCGGCCAACCGACCGACCGGTTTCGGTTTTAGGCTCGGTTAGCCGGCCAACAAAAAAAATACATTTTCAAAAAAAAAAAAAAAAAAAATTAAAAACAAAACCAAAAACTCTCCACCACTCCTTCCTTATCTCCTCCTCTCTCCTTCCTTTCTCCACCAAACCTCTTCTCTCTCCTTCCTTTTCTTCTCTCACCTTCTTTCTCATGGAAACAGATCTGCCGTCGCCGAAGGAGCTCGGGTTGACGTTGCCGACGGAGGTGAATCTCGTGGAGAATGAAGCGGCGGACGGCGGAGCGGATTCCGGGTCGGAGAAGGCAATCGGGTCGTTGTAGATGACGGTGCCGGCGCTCGAGGTCGGGACGGTGACGTCGCGGGTGAGGCCGACGACTCCGTTGCGGAGGTAGGAGTCTCCAAGGAGGGTGAAATTTCGGATGGCGAAGGCAGGGAAGTCGAATTCGAGGTGGAGGAGGAAGGAATCATCGAGTTGAGAATCTTGATCGGAGATTGAATTGGGGTTTGCTTTCTTTCTTCTGGGTAGGCAGGGGAGGGCGGAGAAGGCAGAGGAGGGCGGCCGGAGTCGTCGCCGGCTCGCCGCTGCTGTGTTGGGGCCTTTGTGGGAGTGGAGTGGGGCGGCTGTGTGAAACGAGAGGAGGGAGGATGGGGGAGGGCTGCTAGGGTTTAGGGAGAGGTGGGTAGTTTTATTTAGGCCAAAACGGGGTCGTTTAGCATCGGTCGGTTAGCGTCGGTTAGCCGGTTAACCGGGCTCGGTTTTTCGGCTAACCGCCTAACCACTGAATGCCTCCGACAACCGACCGCTACCCATTTTTTTCGGTTTTCGGTTAGCCGCTAACCGGCGGTTATCGGTTAGACCAGCCGGTTAGCCGCTAACCGGCAACCGAACTGACAGCCCTAAGCACAAGCGCTGGATCCTTCACGAGTACAGCTGCACAAGCGTCGTCAACCCATTAAACCTAAGAAAGCCACCACACACTTGTTTCGTCATTACAGCAGCTAAAGCAAATCAAAATCGAAGCACATTTACTATGCGAGAATTGGTAGTACCTGGGGAGATTGCAAGCGAAGGGCTGCCATCTGTACTTGACGTAATTCTTCTCGGGTCGGCCGAATTTGAGGCAGTCGAACTTTGGATCTAGGAATGGACATTTGGCAGGGTCGTAGAGAGGGTATGAAGAATCGTAGACCCATTTCCCTTGGAACCAATTGCATTTGCTCACACCTAATGCTTCTCTTCTCCCGCTGCTGCTGCTGTTTCTGGGAAATGTACCCTCACTGTCACTCGTCAAGAAGCTCCCACTTGTTTCTGTTGCTAATAGTAGCAGAACAGCGACCAATGTCAAGAAACCCATATGGGAGACAGGGATGATAGAGTTAGTTACGAGAGAAATAGATAAAAGGAGGTTTTCTTCCCTTTTTCTGCTGTGGTTGTTCTACTAAGAAAGGACGATCGAGAAAGAGAAAGAGGGAAAGTGAGGTGTTTGAAGCTAAAGTTGAAGTAAGCCCCCTATTTATATACACAAAACTACAAAAGTGACAGAGACAGAGGGGCGACTGGATCCGGGGAGAACAGAGCTTTGGAGCTTCTTTTGCTCGTTAATTTTTTCAAATATGGGTGGGGTGGGCGGTCTGTGTTTTGTTTTCACATGGAAATGTGGGCACCGCCTCTTGATAATCGGTGGCTGCTGCTCCGGGTTCGGCGCCCTCCACGTGGCCGACGACGCTTGTCGGGGACCGAATCAGCGCCCTCCACGTGGGCGACGACGCTTGTGCAGCTGTACTCGTGAAGGATTCAGCGCTTGTGCTCCTCCGGGTTCTTAGGGTTCAGGTAGCTGAACCTCTTCTTCAGCGCCACGATTCGCGTCTTGCTACTGCGACTGATGGAATAGGAGTCTAAGTTTTATTTTTATTTTTTAATAGTTGTAAAATGAGGTGGAAATTGTAAATATTTAAATTTTATAATTTTATTATTTTTTATTGGCCACGTCACTCATTTAACGGTCAACTATAATAGTTGACTGCCACATCAGCAAAAACTAACGGAGACTAACGGAGAGTGACCAAACTTGAACTATTGAATTAATCTTAGTGACCATGAATGGAATTAAATATTTGCAGTGACCAAACATGAACCGTTTTAGTAAACCCAGTGACCATCCTTGCAATTACCCCTAATAACTAGTGTACTTTGGGATTTTTTCCACCGAAAAAAGTGGCCCTCCCCCTACCGCTAATTACTCATTATTATTATTATTATTATTTACATTCTTATTCTCTATTTCTTTTTCTTATTTGAACCAAACACCTGATTATAACTGGTTTTTAATACCGGTTAAACAACGATTATCCGATAAATCTTGAACTCTCTACTAATCCGGATCGGTGTATGGTTTGGTTTTCACAACAAAAAAGACTCTTTTATCCACCGTGTCATTGATGCCGGATGAGATGACCGGGAAAATGAAGGAAAACATTTCCATTTTCCAGTTTGTATGGCTACCGTTCCAGGTTTCATAATTTCTACCATCTCTGGACTTCTTCTATAGCGACTGGTAAACATTTCCACTTTCCACCGCCGGTCGCCATCTCTGCTCTCCTTCCAGTTACAGCTCCATCTCTCTATCCCACTTCACCGCCGCCCGCCGGGTCATGGCTTCTCCGTCACTCGTTCGGCAACCGCCGCAAATCTCTTCCGCCTCCACCTACTGCGCTCCCACCATCTTCTCCGCTTGCTCGCCGACGAGCCGCTCAGTTCCATCTCCTTACAGAGATCGCCGACATCTGCATCATCGCCCTTTCTACTGTAAAGCTTCATGGCAAGAGGTTTTCCCTCTCTCTATCTCTCTCCCCCCGCCTTAATTGCAGGAACCCTTGTTTCCTAAACCCCTAATTCATCTTCGCAATTGAAAAAAGGTTGCCGGAGTGGTGGTGTTCTCGGCGATTCCGTTCACCGCCGTCAAAGCCATCGCCAATAGCTCGCTGGGGGAGACGCTTCGGTCACGTATGGAGGAGAAGAAGAAAGCCGCGATCCAACAATCCTCCAAATTCCGTGATCTAACGGAAAAGGCCCGACGAGATAGCATTTGGTATGGAGAAGACCGTCCTCGCTGGCTGGGTACAATTCCCTACGACTATCCTGCTCATCTCGCCGGAGACCTGCCGGGCGATTATGGCTATGACGTTGCTAATCTCAGTAGAGACCCTACGGCTCTCCAGAGATACTTCAAGTAAGTGAAGTTATTATAACTCAGAACTTTGTTTGCCCTTTAGAAAACCCATGAAAAATTGAGGCTCTAAAAGCTCTGCAGCTTCGAGATACTGCATGCTCGATGGGCAATGTTAGGAGCTTTGGGCGCTGTTATCCCTGAAGTATTGGATTTAGGTGGCGCATTCCATTTTACAGAACCTGTCTGGTGGAAAGTTGGATATTCCAAGCTGCAGGTCTGCTATTGACCATTGTCATTCCTACCTTGAATGCTTTCATGATCATTCATTACAATGCTTCGTTTAACCAGAGTATGCATCTGACCTTTATAGTGATAATGGAACTTGAAATCAGGGAGATACGTTGGATTATCTGGGTATCCCAGGTCTCCACTTTGCTGGAAGCCAAGGAATACTTGTCATTGCTATCTGCCAAGTCCTCCTGATGGTGAATGAATGAACTCTTTTACGTCATTTCGAATTGATCTCATTTCCTTTCCCCCGGTAATTATCAGTACTAGTAACATGCTTGATCGAAAAGCGAGCAGGTTGGACCTGAGTATGCGAGATACTGCGGGATCGAGGCGTTGGAGCCCTTGGGAATCTACTTGCCGGGTGATGAGAACTACCCAGGAGGCTCATTGTTCGATCCACTGAACTTCGCAGGGGAGCCAGTGGCATTTGAAGAGCTGAAGGTGAAAGAGATCAAGAATGGACGACTGGCGATGGTTGCCTGGTTAGGGTTCTATGTTCAAGCGGCCGTGACAGGTAAAGGCCCTATTCAGAACCTCGTGGAGCATGTCTCCGATCCGTTTCACAACAATGTGCTTTCAGTTCTGAAAATTATGTAAGCGGTAGGGATATTAGCACCCTTAGCTTCCATGTTGTGCATAAAAGGAAGCAGGGTTGTTTTGCTCTGTCGTTCAAAATTGTACAGCCTACATTTCCTAAAAGCTTTGATTATGCATTTTATTCAAGGATGAAATTTGTAGACAAGAGGCTAAATTGGGTAACCTAACCAAATGGAATTTGTGGTGGGAGAAATAAAAAATTGGATTACAATTTACATTAACGTTACTATTAAGAAGAAATGAAACCAAATTTGTAGTTCTAGGTGGGTGATCTGGGTTTACTGGAGAGACATTTTCCACAGCTGATCAACTTCAGCAATGACTGCGGTCGTCTTCCCCTGACCTTCAAACGAGATAGCTGCAGTGCATTGTGTAAACATCAGTCAGCATCATTCACCAGCCAAAATCTTTTGTCGAACCTAAATTTAGAAGCCAGGATGCATTACCTTCCTACGCGTCACTTTCGTTGCTTTCCAGCAGAGCATGCTTCTCGATCGGGCCTCCAGCCTCCTGCCAAAATACCATGGTGAATTCAAAACCTGGCAAAATTCAGGGTCCTGAAAACAAATATGATGTTTTAGTTAAGAGGCACTTACAAATTTTCTTGTTCAAGTTTTTCAGCTATAGAAACTGCTTTGCGTCTCGACCATGCATTCGGCTGATTACATCCTTCCACCTGCTGCTGAATCACATGAGCCAAGGAGACCTTGCTTCTCACAAGGCTTCTACTCTGACTTAGTTCCCCTACTCTACGTGGAACAGCTGGCTTATGCTGTTGTAAATCTGCATGTTTAGGGGAAGGTAGCACTTCAACGATCTCGTCGTCTCTCCCTGCATTGCTAAACTGTTCTTCTGGCCTCGAAGCCGTTCTCCTGCCATCTCTAGCTACTACCACCTGTGAAGTTGACGAACCATTCTTGGTGGTGGGTAACACGAGTGGCGTGTGGGGCCTACCGCTTTTGCATGGTTCTGTTCTGATTTCGATCGTCACTGGTGAACCGAGAACCGATTCAAATGCTTGTAGAATGTATGTGCTGAACTTCTCTGCCTTTGATTTTGTCAGCTGTGAGCTGAACACCAGCTGCACGGTTGGAGCTGCAAATGCAAAAAAACAGTGGAGTTGGGATGGTTAGCTGCTGCAGGAAACAAACATAAAGCAGCAGATTTGGTCGAGATAGTGGAAAATCACATTCTGGTAGCGATCTTTTCAATATCAAGTAACCCTTCAAATCCCTTCCCAGCCTATTGCACATCTACATGATGTTCTGCTGAGGTTATGACTTATGACACAAGAACATGATTTCCAATAATCATTGTAGTAGCAAAACAGACAAATGTAAAGTGGATGAGCATAGATATGAAATTGATCCAACACTGTTCCACTCCTATGGTAAATCAGAGAGCAGTATATTCCAACGTAATATACTAATGAAGTAGTAGTACCTGCACCGAAGCTTACAGAAATCAGTGTCCCTTCATGGTACAAGAAGTCCCTTATACCCTTGATCTGAATGTTCTCAAGCACCTCAATCCAAATTTCTTCATATCCCACGTGACTTTTCCCTGGGATCTGCCTTCTCATATCCATGTTGGCGCCATTTTTCAATCTGTTCCCGTGCTGATCAATGGAAGTTCTACCAGGGAGATCTTTTTCTAATCTAGTAGGATGTTGTGAAGGCAGGTTTCTCGCATTGTGGGGCACCGCCCCTGCGTGCTGTCCAACAACCGTTCTGGTGGTCGTATCCCTTCCGTCGGGCAGAGGGCTGTGATTGAAACTGGGCTCTGTTGAAGAACTAGGCAACAGGTATTGCTGATCAGGTGCAAGTTGAAGCAGTGCTGCTGTTAGCCATGTCAGTTTGTCATTAGACATCCTAAGTTGCTTTTCAGCCTCGGATAATGTTTTCAATGCTTGTCGAAGTTTCTCCATTTCTTCCTTCGACACTGGGAATCAGAATACAAGTTTTCACTCAATCAACTTTTGAAGTGAGAACCATATTTGACTATAGCAAGCAAGTTGCAGAAGTTAAAACAAACACAACCCAAGTATTTGGCCAATCCTAGGTAAGTCTCATTTGTTAAGGAGACGGATGAATCAAACAAGAGGCAGAAAATTTAGTAGCAACACAACACATGATTGGAACTTACTTGGTTGTCGCTTGAAAAACTTCCGCCTGTGCCTCTCTCTTGTGAAATCATATGTTCCTGCTAATATATCAGTGATAACAGTAGCAAGCTGCGACATTAAAGCTAAAGGCTCTACGCCTGTCTCCATTATGACCCTTAAGTTCTTCACAGTGTTTACTGTGTCAGCAGATAATGCCAGGTCAAGAAGATCCACCAATTTTTCATCCGATATTAGCCCAACCTGTCAAGAAACAATTGAATTCTTAGAATACATACAAATGTCAGCAGGCTGCAGAATGACTATTGCGTGCTACAAAAATTTGGTTAAAGCACTTACCAGCTCCTGAACTAGAGGCACAGAGACCTTCTGCCCGAGCAGACTAAGTTGCTCGAGGGTCATCTCAGCATCTCTCAGCGATCCATCGGACCGGGAGGCAATCAGTTTCAAAGCATCCTTATCAATGTCTATATCTTCTCTGGAAGCGATCCATTGTAAAGAATGGATAATGTCTGCATCCTTCAACTTTGGGAAGAAGAACTTCTGGCACCTCGATATAATGATATGAGGCAAAACATCAAGACTCGAACTAACAAGGATGAAAACCACACGCCTCGGAGCTCGATCGACAACCTTTGATATCGCACTCCAGCACTCGGGTGACAAAGTATCACAATCATCAAAGATGAAAACCCTGTACTGAGATGGCAACTGGGAAATTATCATATTCTCAAGAAGATCGACGAAGCTTTCAAAGTCAAAATTAGGACCAACTTCTCTAATATTCTTGTTCTTGCCCATGTCATGTGCAGCGCAAGAGTTACAGTGTCCACAAGGCTTGGGGCGTTCCATCGACTGACAATTTAGAGCCCTAGCAAAGATTCGGGCACAAGAAGTCTTGCCAGTGCCATGAGGTCCATAAAATACATATAGAAGTCCAACCTTCCTTTTCAAGACTGCATTAGCAAGAGCCTGCGAGACCAGATTTTGTCCTACAAGGTCTCTAAAGCTTCTAGGTGTGTACTTCTGGGTCAGATTCTGATGCCTTCGGTTGTGATTCCGACCCTGATGATTGCCTTGACGATCACCCGATCTAGCTTCAGAGGCAAGATCAGAATCAAGATCATTTCTCAGCAAATTATCAGCATATAGACCAAGCTCACCAGAATAGTCATGTATCCAACCAGCATTGTTGTCACTCGAACCAGCAGAGGGTTCGGCCAATAGAGGCAGTGCCTCGGAACCTGACCTAGAAGCCGCTGAACTTGATTGACCAGATGCCATTGGCATATCCCTCTCTTGAGAGCCTTGCCTCAACCTTGACTCGGACCGACCACAAGCCAGACTCTTTCCAGCCCTGTCGAGAAATGTTTTTCCCCTATCATGAATCCTTGACCAATTCCATGGAATACCACATCCATTTCTTGGACCATGTGTGACATTCTGATCTCCATATTCTTCTCTTTCTTGAGCTTGTAGTGAATTAGAAGCAGCAGCAGACATTTCTTTTTGATGATGACCTCCTACAGTGTCTCTAGACGGTGGACCACGACTTCCTCTTCCCCTGGCAGCCCTAAACTTACGCCGCTTTACCCGATTAGCTCCACTAAGTCTGCCATTATGATGAATGTTGGAAGAAGATGCTGCTACATCACTATCAATAGCAGCAACCTCCTTCAGCTGCTGAGAAAGAGTCTTGATATGTTCATCATCCACACTATTTTTGGACTTCTGCTGCCTACTTCCCCCATCTCTAGATCCTGAACTAACAGGAACCGTATCATGAAACAATAAACCATTCACAGCATCAGCTCTACTACCACTCTTTCTAGTACTAGATTCTTCCCTCCTAACTCTCCCACTACCCTCCATCATCCCGCTCTTACTACAACGATCACTTACAGGAACAACCTTCGACGGTTGATGACTGGAAAATTGAGGTGAGCCACCAGACAGCCTCCTGCTGCTGCTCTCTCTTCTACCAACAGAAGACCTTCTGCCCTCTTGTATATGGAGATTACTATCCTCCTCGTCATGATCACCTTTCTTGGGCAGCAGATCGACAACCGAGGGCGACTGCCACGACAAAGGAGGGCTAGCAGAAGGGTCGCGAAGCGAACGGGACCTCTGGAGCGCAATGAGGTCTCTCATTAGGGACCTGTCGTTGAGTATGGGGCTCTGCTTGTGCATGTGGTTCTTGAGGTGGATGCAGTTGGTCAAGTGGATGTGGTTGCGGAGATGGTCGCTGATGTCGCCATTTGCATCCTTGAGAATCCTCCTGCTACTACTACTTGGGACGGGTTTGGTCATGATCAAAACATCAATGCATATATAATAACAACAAAATCTCTTCAACTAAACCAATCAAGTTGTTGAGCATCTTCTTCCTTTTCCCCGCCCAGAACTTTCCACGGTAAGGACCCGCTAACTAATCGGCGGAATCGCAGTGGATTGGCCGGAATTCAAGAAATCAAAGATCCTCCTTTCCCGTCAATAGAAAACGAGGCATGTCATCAATCAATCAATTAATAGTTTCCTTTGATAGCATACCCAAATTCTCAGGGAGTATTTGCTCAGAAGAGTAACTACGGCAAGCTAAGAAAGACGCCTTTCATTTATGGCAACAGAGGAAAGAAAGAACAAAATCCCCTTCCCCTCGTACCTTGAAACCGTAGAGAACCCAGCTCTTTCATTTCTGGGTCAGCAGCTGAGCTCCAATGCATGAGTTCAGAAAAGGTCAGTTAGCTCGAACCAGCTTCAGTTCTACACAGGCGAAACCTTGGATCTTGTTTAGAAGAAAGGCCAAAGCTATCGACAAAATTGAAATGGCGAGAGAGTGAAGCGGGAGGATTGGGCAGAAAGTGGGATAGAAAAAGGAGCGAACTTTACATGAAAATGTGGGACTAAGAAACAGAGGAAGGAAGAAGAAGAAAGGGTGACCTCGCGTCCCACCTGAAAGATCCCCCTCGAGAAAGGGAGAAAGAAGGAAGCTTGAACTGGCGGCCCCGTTTCATTCATTAAGACCACCAAAGATTAGGAGAGATCTCTACTGCTAGTTCTCATCCTCCCCTGCTGTCGGCCTCTGAGACCACAATTTAAAGGCCACAGACTTAAAACCATCCAACCAGCCAGCTTAACTTTCTCACATGCAATTCACGAGCAGTTTCTTTCCACGGAAAATGATGGCTAGCAGTAGCACCATCCCACCTCTACCTAAACCCTCAACCCCAAAAAACCAGTCGCTGTTACAGTAGGTGATAGAGAGGAATAATCAATCGAAAAGTGACTAGAACCTTAGCCCACATAGCGAAACAGAGTGTGGTTTTCAGAGTGTGGAAAAAGAAACAGAGTAAGCTCAAGCTGAGATCTAAATGAGAGAGAGAGAGAGAGAGAGAGAGAGAGAGAGAGAGAGAGAGGCTGCTGTGGAAACAGGACACAGGCCAATAAAGCGGTGTGTCCGTTTGCTTGAACGTGCATTTGCAGGGAAGAAATTATTTATAAATAAAGGGATTTTATGGTTTTTTTGTTTTTAAAATTTGGTCCAATTGAACTCCTTTCTCCATCCTTGCAATATTTTTCAAAGAAGTGAGATATTGGGGGGAGAAAAATGGGACCAGAGCTGAAAATGAAAGGGGGAAGAAGAAATAGTTCCGTTCGTCACCTCCTCTGTTTTTCCTCTGTTTGCCAGAGCTAGCCGTTTTGCTGTATATAGTGGGGGGAAGGGGAATGGAGGGACCCTTTGCTTTCTCTGCTTACTTCATTCTCCAAACCCAGGTGGTGAAATACTGAAATGGCCAAACCAGAAGAAACAAGAGTGGTTTCATGTTTATGGATAGAGTTCCTCCCTCTGCCTTCATAAATTGTAGCTCAAGCTTCATTTCCTTTTGCTAAAATTGTTTGAAAACACTGAACAGAATAGATCCAAATCTCTGGGGGGATTTCAAAAAAAAAAAAGATCAACCACCAGAGAGTCCGGACTGGTGGCGAGTAAGAAAAGTGGGAAAGAAGGAATCTCTGGCGAAGTTTTTCAGCTTTTGTTGGTAAATAAAATTTGTCCTCACGCTGTGTCCATATGCGGACAAAAAAAGCATCAATTGTCTTCACAGTGGTTGGAGGCTGCCGGAGGGAGAAAGGGTTACCGCCACCGGGGTTTCCGCGGTAAAAGTACACTACTTGCTCGCCGGGAAATGGGGGGTGAAAGTGTGAAGGTAAAAAGAAATACAAAACAATGGTGACGACGGGGGGAAAGGAGAGAAGTAACAGTGAGTCACGTGCGAGGATCAGAGGGAGAGATGATGATGATGATGATAATGAAATGAAGCGACACCCACGCCGGCCCGGCCGTGACGTACTTCCATTGTTTCGCTACCTTTTCTCGATCCGATTCTGAATCTGATGATGACGATTTCTCTGTTTAATTATTCTATAGGTGTTTCATTATCATCGTGATTATATCAATTTGGTAATAACGCCACCCGATTTGAGAGGCTAATTGTAAATAGGTTTTTGTTTGTCGTTATTATGAAATTTGGTAGAGCAACGAGAACAGGGAAACCAGTCAATGTCTGAAGAAGGAAGTGGGGGGGAAAAGAAGAAATAGGAAAGTAATTATGATAATTAATGATGATTTCACCCCAGAAAAGGGATAATTAAATCTAATAGGGTTTTACTTTAATAAGGGGAGAGTCAGAAAGCAGTCATATTTTAGGACAGCTGAGCAGTCAGAGTATCCTAGGACTGTAAAAAGAAATAGAATAATGTTAGAAAAGTGAAGGGTGTGAAATGAAGTGATTGATTCAATGGATTGGATTGGATTGGATGGGATGGGACAGCTTGGCTGTCTCTTATCGTTTAACTAATACCTGGATAATTAACTTATTTGATAATCTCCTAGCTAGGAACATACAATTTCTTTCTTTGGACCAAGTAAGTAGTAACTGATGTAAGCAATTTGTGGAAATGCTGGAATAGCATGCACCAGCCCTCTTCATTGCCCTAGAATGAAGGGGAGATTGTGGAGTTCTTGATTTGTGATCATAAATTTTTTAGTTATGATTCTGATGCGATAGAAACTCAAATACTCAATTCACACATCAAGGGGATAGGTTAGGGTGGTTACTCAATTTTGAGTAATCACGGTGGCTACCAACATCTCTACCATTCATTATCTTTATTTTATTATATTTTTAAATTAACGAAGAGATTAGCTAAGGGTAATTTAGGAAATGAAAAACATACCACACCTGATTACTGTATATATTATACTCAAGCCCTAATACAACCTATCTACCTAGCAGCCGTCTCTCCCTTCTCCCAACCCGTCGGCGTCACTCCGCCGGCCAGAACCTTCGCCCCGACGTCTGTCCCGATCCGCTCCCTTATCTGTAAACCGTTATCCTTCTTCGTCTTTCTCCAGTTTCTCCTTTTCCCCGTCACTGATCCACAGCGGTTTTCTTCAGCCTCTGCTTCAGTCCAAAGCCATAGTTCACAGCTTTGCTTCAGCCCATCCCTTTTCCCTCGTCTCACTGCTTGCTTTACTAGGCGTTTGGTGTTCTGGAATAGTTAGAATTCCGCCTCTCTTCACTTCTTCCCGAAAACGCAACCCATGCTTCATTCAAATCACATTCCAAACCTGAAAACGACCCATGCCTAGGGTTGTCGTGCAGACCTCCAGCAATCTTTAAGGATTGGTATGTTTTTTTTTTTAAATGGTAGTCATTTTTTTCCGTAGTGATTTTTTTTAAATGGTAGTGATTTTTTTCCCGTAGTGGTAGTGTTATTGTCGCATTGGTATTATTTTTGTCGCATTGGTATTATTTTTGTCGCATTGGTATTGATTTTGTCGCATTGGTATTGATTTTGTTACATTGGTATTGATTTTGTCGCATTGGTAGTGATTAAATCTGCAATGGTATTGATATTTTCGTGAAATGGTAGTGTTTTTATTTCTTGAATGGTATTTATGTTTTGTACAATGGTAGTATTTTTTTAATGGATTGGTATTGATTTATTGTTTTGTTGTTGCAGCGGTATTAGTTTGGATGAACGGAATCAAGGAAAGATTGAGAAAAAAAAGGAAGAGAGATCTGGCTGAAAAATTGTGGAAGTGAGAGAAAGAGAGAGAGAGAAATTGTATTTAATATATTTATGTAATTTCCTAAAATGTAATTTATTAAAAAAGATATGATGGTGTCTCATCTATTAACTCATGATCTTACCATCCTTTGAAGTAGAAACGAGATTTCGTAGAAGCGAGAAGAAGAGACTAGCAAGTTGTGTTTGTCAAAGACCATAGCAACTCCTTACCTCCCTTTCTTCGCCCCCTCTGTTTGGGTCTCACGGACAACTTACAGTTTGATACCTAACCTTAATAGATGTTACGATTTAGTATCTAAAATTATTTTTTATATAATTTCTAAAAATATTTATAAAGAAAATTATATTTATGTTTCCCCGAGAAAACCAAATGCCACCGCCGGTGCCGAATTCGTTTCCGGCGATGTTGATTTAATATTTCACGGTGGAAACTCTTGCGGTGCCGATTGAACGGATGCACCACTATCTTCTGACCAAATACCACCGCCGGCGTGCCAAACGACGATGTTGATTTGATCGAATTGATGCGCCACTGACTTCTAATCAAGACGACTGTGACTAAGGTTCACACCTCTCCAAACTACGTTCGAACAAGGGTGTTTGAGTTTTTGAGGAATCTACGTTACGACTACTCCTATGGAGATTCCTGTGGAGAGCTCCGCGACTACGCTACGACTATGACTATGGAGATCCTTCCTGGAAGGAGAGCTCCGCTAAGGAGTTACAGAGAAAAAGATAAGTTTGACAGAGTTGATCTGTGTTGATTTCGGTTGTCCTTTCTCTCTCCTTGCTCCACTGCTTTTATTCGAGAAACTGCTTCGTAGCCTTCACGCTCGGTGGAACCGCTTCCTCAACTGCTCCGTTGTGAAATCCCACGTATCTCAACCGCTTCGCTCCTCAAACTGCTTCGCGTGAACTTTACGTGAGTTGCTTTCATGATCCCGCGATGTCGTTTCCTTTCCCAAGCAGCTCCGCTTGATTCTACCCGCGACATCGTTTTAATATTAAACGACTCCGCTTCCAACCTTGCGGTGTCGTTTTCTTTCTCAACCAACTCCGTTTGTTTTTTTTCTTCTTCCGCGACACTGTTTATTATTAAACACGGTCGTTTGCTAGTATAGCGGTACCGTTGGGCTTCCTCGCGGTACCGTTTTTAATTCCGCGGCACCGTTTTAGCTCTGCGGTACCGCTTGTCTCCGTGCGGTACCGATTTT